CAGCAATATGAAAAGTGCTTTTGCATTTGTTATAAGGACTTTCCATTATGCTCTCAAAAGAATTGTCCTTAAGAATTTAATACCACTCCACATTCCTGAAAACTTGGTGCTTCAAGTTGCTTTTGAGGAATAGGGATGATGTTTCAACTGTCTTTTTTGCCCTGGCTTCTAGGAAGCTCATTATCACATCATATGCTCAACCAAAATAATTCACACTTGTCATTAGCATTTTCTTCTGTCTCAACTTGTGAATTTTATTTGTTAATTTGTTATTTACTTCTTTGTTACACATTTTTTTCCAATTCTCCTTCCTCCCCCCACAAAAAAATAAGACAGATTTTATTCTTCTCTTCTAATTTTTCTTGAAAATTTCTTCTAAATACATCTGATAAATGTGTATATTCAGACCCGGTAAAGCACAGGATCTCTAATTTGAAAGCCTTTTCTTAATAGATGTGAGGTGACTAACGAAAGAAATTTCACCCGTGGGCTTCAGAGTTAAACTAATATCTCACTAAAGGATGTCATACTTCCTTTTATTAGCTATTTCAAGCTCAAAAATTACGAGGTAGTCCAAAAATAAGGGCAAGATCGTGTCAGTGTGGATAGATGGCCTTTCTAACCTAAAGCAGAAGGCAGGGGCTAGCCCCAAACCATAACTGAAAAGTTGAGTCCATGCCAACTTTCCTACTCTTAAAAACTGCCCCTTCTCCGCCTTCCACTTCCTCCTTACTTACTGAAAGGCAAATGAGTTTAAAATTGGATGCCACCAGGGTCTGGCCCCGTGGCTGAGTGGTTAAGTTCGAGCACTCCACTGCAGGCGGCCCAAGTGTTTCATGGCACTGCTCGTCAAGCCACGCTGAGGCAGCATCCCACATGCCACAACTAGAAGGACCCACAACGAAAGAATATACAACTATGTACTGGGGGGCTTTGGGGAGAAAAAGGAAAAAAATTTTTAAAAAAAATTAAAAAAAAAAAAAACTGGACGCAGCCAGCCATCACTCCCAGAAAACACGAAATCCTGCCATTTGACATTCGCACTGACAATCCTTTACATATTTTACAGATCCTCAACATGGATTCCTGACAGCTCACTGGGCCCCAGACCCGGCAGGGTTTTTGAGCTACATCTGCAGTATTTTTTGACTTAGGCAGCTGGCATAAAGTGGGAAAATTCATTAACATGCTAATGATGTCCTATTTAAAATTCTAGCCCTGATTATTCTGTGATTAAATCTCTCCCCTTGACGTCTGCTTCCTTTATATCTGAGTTACAGTGCGAAATCAACAATATTAACAAAGTACAATACAGATTACCAACTTACACACAAGGGATGGAAAAACAGTGGTGTAAATCTCAGGGTTTGTCTTTTTTCTGAAAAACTGAAGCAGCAAACTGTAAAAAAGTGACTGATTTTTTTCTTCCTACTCTCCCTTTATAAAAACATTGAAACCCACGATAATTAAAGGTTCATAGTTAATTTCCATAAGTATTCAGGGGTTGAAAGATAGACTTAGCTTTTCATTCTATTTCACTGCACTTAAAATTGCTCAGAATTCAAACGTGTTCTCCTGAAGTCTTAAGAACAGTTGATAGGACTTAAAACATACCCCTCTCTCGCCTCTTCATAGAGACTGTGTCACTATGACAAAAGTCAATGGATTCAGTGATTTCTGTCTCCCTTCGCCCTTTAGTACTTTGGCATAGTCAGTCCCTTTTCCTCATATTGTTCTGTCTGCTGACACCCCAATCTGAATATCTGACTCAGACGACTCGAGCATCTTGCATGAAAGACTATCAAACTTATTGTTGCCCTCGTTAAATTGGAAAATGAATTTTAAAATTTTTTTAAAAAGAAGATCCAAGGGCCGGGTCTGTAATTCAAAATACAGGAAGAAAGGACTAATGTTTCACTGCAATGTCTGGCCCCAGTAAATGGACAGCTATTTATGGTATATTTACAATTTTTAAAGACACCAAGCTGAAGACTGCAACAATACAAATGAAACCTAAGGACAGTGCTTGACCTCAGTGGACTTATAGCCTAGCCAGAGACACAAGATGTAATGATATTGTAAGTGATGAGCAAAGCAGGTTCATCTGTGATGAGTCATTACATGCTCACTTCCCGTCAATAGGTGTTCTCTGTATGCGAAAGACTGCTCCTTGCCTCCTAAGACTGTACATCTCCTCTTCTGCTATCGCAACAGAGTGCCTGGATGGACTTGGACATACACGTGGCTGGGTCAGCCATCTTGGGCCACACATCCCATGTTGAGGGGCACAGAGAACAAAATAGAAGAGCCTGGGTCCCCATTATTATGGAGTTGCTCGTCCATCCCTGAATTGCTTTTTCCCCTGAATGTTGCATTCTACAACCACTGCTGGAAATCAAAATCTGTTTTTAATAGCACTACATATTGCTCATTTCTTACATAGTCTTATTTTTAAATGTTTTATCTAAGAGCAAAAGGAGTCAGCTCACAGTACGTACATTTATATACATACCATTCCTTTGTATTTGCTCTACATTTAAACGAGCTCAGAGCTCCTCCTGAATTTTTAACTCTCAAAACTCCAACAAAAGACCCACAACGAAGAATATACAACTAGGTACCGGGGAACTTTGGGGAGAAAAAGGAAAAGACTAAAATCTAAAAAACAAAAAAAAAATCCAACAAATGACAGAATATGGATTTTGGCCTAGTTTTATTACATTTCAATAGATAAAAATTTCAATTTGCTAAGGAATTCATTATTTATTTATTTGTCTCCCACACTCTCACTAACCCAAGATTTTTAATTTGGTTCACCTGAAGCCAAGTCACCTCGGGTTGGTTAAAAATTAGCTTCAGCCTAAAGCTTAGAGAAAGGGCAGCTGATTCAGCTAAACCCCAGCATAAAACATAAAGATCACCTTCACAACAGTAATGAGCCATCTGCAATTTAGAATCATCCATGGTAACAATCTCTCATTCCATTTGTTTATGTTTTATTCATCATTTTGAAAATAGTGAAGTGACAAAGATGAGATTCAAAAAATACTGTACAGCTCTTTTTTTTTTTAAAGAGATATTAATGGCTTTCCAGAGCTCAACTGTTCCAATGAAAATATTGCTGGACTAAATTTGTCCAAATTTGTTTACATCTTCTTTATTCTTAGATATACTAGATTCCCCATTTTGCGCCAAAAATTATGTGGTGGTAACATGAGAAATTTCATAGTTTTCATTGTTGACGCATGTAAAAAGTCAATAGCAAAAATTCATTTAAAATATATAATGTTCAGGGCTGGCCCCGTGGCCGAGTGATTAAGTTCATGACCTCTGTTTTGGCAGCCTGGGGTTTTGCGGGGTCGAATCCTGGGTGCGGACATGGCACCGCTCATCAAGCCCTACTGAGGCAGCGTCCCACATGCCACGACTAGAAGGACCCAGAACTAAAAATACACAACTATGTACTGGGGGGCTTTGGGAGAAAAAGGAAAAATAAACTCTTTAAAAGAAAAAAAATATATATATATAATGTTCATTCTTATCATAACGTAATAAACCACACTGTTACATCTTGGGGGATCATATTGTCACTGCTCAGTACTATAGTTATATATTAAGGCTCAAACACACCGTCTCTAGTTACATATTCGGCAAAAACAAAGCTTGACCTACAAAAGTGGAAAAAAAGACGCTCCGAGTTGTTGAGCCAACTTAGAGGTGTCCATTGCCAAGAAGACACAATGGCAACTAAACACCCTATGTGTGATTCACAAGACTCTGTGAAGAAACCTCTCTCGACACAATTTAGCAAGGCTTTCAAACAAAATGTATTCACAGCGAAATGACGCACCTATTTCTGCCAGCTGATTTCATATTTATTTGGTTTTAAATATTAGCATTCATTTACTTCAATTTATGCAACATTTTAGCCCTACTTTGAATCTGGCTACCTAATATCCCCATTTTTTCTTATTTCTTTTTAAATAAGCATACTTTGTACATATAGTCACTTGTTAGTGCATATGTCTTTCGTTTTCTTAGTAAACAACATTTATTTAGGGACCATGACATACTACGTATGACCCCTGCCCTCCAGTCACGTCACTTCTAGTTCCTAAGAGTATTACAGAGGCAAATAGACACACACACACACAACTCAGGATCTTTGTAAGTTACCCCACTTAATCTGTACCACTTAATCAGCCTATGAGATGGATATTATTCTTCTCATTTTACTGGTGAAGAAACAGGTTCCAGCATCGAATATATTTTAAATCTGAATTTTCTTCTTATGATTTCCTTCCGCATATTGGAAACTGAATCATCAGAAATCCTTTACTTTTTTTTTAAGAAATAGGTTTTCACTTTACCGATTTGGACTGAACTGGCATCTTCCAAGACTATCCCTCAGGGAGCAAACCTCGAGGTGACCTCAATTATCTTAAGAACTGGTCAGGAAAAGAACACAAGAATACTTGAACTCCTCTGACCAGCAGATTCTTGGGCTAAGGCAGCATTGGCATGTCTACATCATTCTTCCTGGGGAAAGAAGCTCTCGGAAAAGCTCACACACAGAAAAGCCGCTTCATGGTCTTTTCTCAGTCTTCTCAGAGTCGCCCTGCTTTCGTCTGTGATTGCGCGAGCCAGAAGACTGAGCCAACAAGCGAAAGGAAGATAATTGTCAAACAGAAAATTGGCAAGACCCGTGCCAAGGGAGAGATTGCTCTAAATAATCACCAGCCCATTAGCAAATCCAGAGTAGAGGAGGGGAACAAGACAGAAAAAGAAAAGATGTCACATGTGATAGCAAAACAAAAGCTGACAAGAAATTCTACCCTATTTGCAAAGGCTGCTGCCAAAAAAATCCTCCAGGAATACTGTTGTGTGCTCCAGGATGCCTTTCACAGTGACAATGTTCACATGAAGCACAGAACGCCCCGCCTGGCCACACAATACAATAAATATGAATATTTCGCCAGGCCGCAGTTGTGACTACTTACCGTAGGCGGCTTCCCCGTGGTCCAGTTCTCTTCTCAGGCTGTTGTAATCTTCTTTAACACGTCCCAGCTTTTTGACATTCCTGCAACTCAGCACCAACAGCTTGTTGAGGAGTCCCTCCAGCCCGTCCCTCTCTGATGTTAATGACCTAATCTCCTCTGTGAGCTCCTTCGCTGTACAGAAATGGTTTCCTGCAGCACATTGTGGGAGAGAAGGAGGGAAAACAAACTTTACAGCATCCCCACACATGGAAGATTTAGCGACAGCTAACGTGCACCAACAGTGTGAGTAAAGGGGACTGAACTTTGCAACTACATTCAGTTGCATTGACAGTCTTCTGTGGAGGAATCTGGAAAAACAGACTGTCCTCTTGAAGCTAGGAAGCCACCAGTCTCTTTATCATCTTAGTCTTGTTATGTTCTGTTTTAAGGGTTCCATTGGCCAATTCATGCCCTTGATGACACAAAAATGCCCCAGTGAAACCCAGGGAAGCTACATGGCATCACTCCTTCAAATACCCAAATGTCAAAGAGGTGAAATATTAAGGTAGGGTGGAAAGGACTGGACCTTGGAGTCAGACGAGACCTAAATTCAAATCCTAGTCCCCCTGTTATTCAAACTGCCTGACTTCGAGCAAAGAAATTGTCACATGTAATGTCAGTTCAAATTTCTTATAAATATGATCACACTAACACCTGCATCATAGATGGAGCTGCAAGAATAAACATCTGTAAAAGCACTGAGCAAAATATTTGTAACATTGAATTTAGCAAGGCTGCAGGATACAAGGTCAATATACGAAAATCAATTGTATTTCTAAATATCAGCAGCAAACAATTGACAGGTGGATTTAAAAATATATACCATATACAAGATATTTTAAAACTCAAAATACATAGGGATAAAGAAACATGTGCAAGATCTCTACACAGAAAACCATTTTTAAAACTTCTGAGAGAAATGAAAGAAGACCTAAATAATTAAAAAGAGGTACTGTATATACATACGTTGGAAAACTGAATATTGCTAAGATTTCCATTTTCCTCAGATTGATCTATTCAGTCAATACAATTCCAATCAAAATCTCATGAGAGTCTTGTAGAAACTGACAAGCTTTCTAAAATGTAAAAGAAAATGCAAAGGCCTCGATAAACCAAAACAATCCTTAAAAAGTAGAACAAAGTTAGGGGTTGGCCCCGTGGCCGAGTGGTTAAGTTCGCACACTCCGCTGCAGGCGGCCCAGTGTTTCGTCGGTTCGAATCCTGGGTGCGGACATGGCACTGCTCGTCAGACCACGCTGAGGCAGCGTCCCACATGCCACAACTAGAGGAACCCACAACAAAGAATACACAACTATGTACCGGGGGGCTTTGGGGAGAAAAAGGAAAAAATAAAATCTTTAAAAAAAAAAAAAAAAAAGTAGAACAAAGTTAGAGGACATATACTACTTGATTTCAAACCAACACTGAAGCTACAGTAAGTCAAGACAGTATGGCATTGGCATATAAAAAGATAAACAAATGGATTAATAGAGTAGACAGTCCAGAAGTGGACCACACTCACACAGACTATTAACCTTCAACCAAAGTGCCAAAGCAAGTCAATGAGGAAACAGGAGTATTTTCAACAAACGCTTAGTCGAACAACTAGCTAGCTATATGGGGAAAACGTTATCCTTAGACATACATCAAACCATACACAAAATTTAATTAGGGATAGATCACAGACCTAAATGTAGAAGTGAAAACTATAAAGCTTCTGGAAGAAAATAGAAGAGAATATCTTTCTGACTTTGGAGTAGGCAAAAACTTTAGAGAGGACACAGAAAACACTAACTATAAAAGAAAAAAATGGATAAGAATGGACTGCACCAGAATTAAAAACTTCTACTCATCAAAAAGTGCCATTAAGAAAATGAATAGGCAAGCCACAGACTGGGAGAAAATGTTTTACGATACCTATATCCGACAAAGTTGACCCCTACAACTTAATAATTAAAACACAAATGACCTTATTGAAAAGTGAGCAAATGACTCAACTGGTACTGTACAAAAGAAGATATACAAGTGGCCCATAAACATATGAACAAGTATTCTTGATGATTAGTCACCAGAAAAATGCAAATTAAAGCCATAGCGATTTCACTACACCACCATTCAAATGCCTCAAATTAACTAGACTGAAACTGCCTACCCCGGCAAGGATGTGGAGTGATCAGGACTCTCATACATAGTGGGAGTATAAAATGGTACAACCACTTTCAGAAGAGCTCTGCCAGTTTCTCATAAAGTTAAACATACACCTCCTTTTTGATCCAACAATTCTACTTCTAGATGTTGACCCAAGAGATGAAAACATGTAAACAAAAATACTTGTACTCAAACGTTCACAGAGGCTTTACTCATGATGGCCCCAAACTGGAAACAACCTCAATGTCCATCAAGAGAAGAACACAGAAGCAATGGCATGTCTACACAATGGAAGACTACTCAGCACAAAAAAGGCACGAACTCTTCACATACACAGTGACATGCAAGTATCTCAGAAAAAGACACAGAGTACCTACCACGTTATCCCATCGTTGTTAAGTTCTAGAACAGGCAAAACTAATCCATGGTAAAAGATATCAGAACAAAGGCTGTCTGGGGAAGTGGGGGATAATGAATGGGAAGGGGCCTAAGAGGGATGTTTCCGGGTGATGAAAACATCTTAATAGGGCTGCTGCTAACACAGGGGTCAAAATTCATAGACCTGTACACTTAATATCCATGCATTTCATTAAATGTAAATCAAATCTCAATAAAAAAGGAAAAAACATATTAGGGAAAATTTAAATATGAAAATTATACCATAAATTAATAAATATATCACATTAATGAGTGCTCCATAAATAGTTATCGTTTCTAGAGGGCTCCATTACCCTTCCTAAGACTTTATTATAAGCATAATTGCAATAATAGCTACAAACCTTCTCTCCTTTAAACCACATTACAACCCTGGGAGGGAGGTTATACCCTGTCTTCACTATTCTAAGAGGCACATTCTTTTCTACATGTTAACATCTCTGAAATGGGGATGTATCCACAGTCGCTATCAGCCAGGAGATAGCCCGGATGAAGTTGATGTTAGGTGATTGTTATTCTTGGGGAGCTAGCTGACCATCTGCAACCCCCTGGCGCTTCAATGGACAAACGACTTAAGGACCATTTGAGTCCTGGCTGTTGCCTGAAAACCTTCTGGTGACGTGGATTTGTAAGATCAGGAAAGCACCAGCATTTAAAATTTGAACGACAGAGTTAGCAGCTTGGCAGAAAATTCTACAGGAACCAGTAGTTCGTTCTTAGAGGAAAAAAAGCTGCATCACCAATAGCTTCACTGACATAGAGGATGATAATGTGTGGAAAACACGAGCCTCGACTACTTCAAGTTGAAATGTGTTTCGGAACCCTCAGACTCTGAATATGAAGATTTTTTAGGAAAACGTCAACCAATTCATTTTCCTTTTTTAAAGAGTAATATGTGATTCTTCAAAAGCCTAAATATAGCTAAAAGAGCTATTGCATTAAGTGTAAAATAAGAATTCTAAGGCACAGAAAGCATTGTTTCACTGTTTAATTGACAGTAATGTTTCTTTCCTAGTAGTATATAAAATAATGGGGTATCACTGAAACACATGCTGTTACTGCTACTTTACAATTGAGAAAATTGAAATCCAGAAAATGAAATCTCTAACTGACGATTGCATAGCAACGAAATACAGGGAAGTTTCCTACTCAGACATGACTCCAGAATCCCTCCTCTTATGTACCAAACTGTGCTGTTTACTTCTTTATTATTATTATTTAATGGGCAGATTTCAACCTGAAATAAATGTGGGAAAGGTTACAAAATGCTTTCCCACGTTAAAAGCCTTCTGAACACCCAGCGTGTATGATTTCTGTCACTGAAATCCATAGTTTTCAATTCCATGATTGGACAAATGTCTTTTGAGACTATTCTCTGTCCATCGCTGTAGCAGGCAAAGACAGCAGAGAACGAGGCACGGGCCCTGCTCTCCAGGAGGGAGAGCATTAAATGAAGGAGGTAAGATGTTGTGTAAGACATAGGTAAACACACGCTAGGAGAGCTCAGAGAAGATAGATTGTTCCAGAAGGGGAGACAGAGGAAGTTTACATGAGGAAAGAATGCAAGGTTTCCAAAAGGAGAAATGGGAAACCTGGTTGAAGGGCAAAGGATCTTGTCTTCAACGGGTGGCAGGAGACATGTGGCTGAGACAGAGATTAGACTGACAAAGAAGTTGGATCCAAATGGCAAAGGGCCCAAAATGCCAAGCCAGTGAGTTTGGACCTATTTAGGAAAAACAAAGTCTTGATAAGGAGAGCAGGCTGGACTTCCACAAGATTTGAGTTGTAAATAGAAACACAACTAAAATATTTCCTGCATCTGTGATTTCCATCCAGAACAATGACCACGTTAAGGCTGTTGTGGGGGGAGCTGCCTATGGAGTGCCGCAAAGAAGCTCAAGGGACACTCCATGCTCTTGGGAGCATGTGGGAGGCCCAGTCCCAGAGGTGTGACTACCTCTTGGCAGAGCAGCCACAGGCATAATGTGATGACTTCAAATGTCCCTTCTTGGGCTGGCCTTAGGGAGCCTCAACCCTTCTGCTGGACCGTGTTTTCCAGCAAGAGGTTCACCAAAAAGTCAGGTAGGCACAGATACCAGGCAAAATAAGCCACAGTGTGCAATCTCCTCCCGAGAATAATTCAGAGAGCAAAGACCTCTAAAAGCAAATCAGAAGAGGCTACATACGCAGAGCAGGTGTATGTTACAGAAGATTCGCTGGAAATACATCCTCAGACCCTCCTACAACTCATCTCAAGTTCTAGATATCAGGGTCCTAAATAAAACATGAGAGAGATCACTAATTAAAACCTAGGTCCCTTCCTTGATCCTAAGGAATACGGCTTGGGAAAATGCATAGTGATAGATGTAGAAGTGTTATATATGCAGAACGAGTGTAAATTCCCAAAGAGACAGTTCATATCAAAACCCAAGCCATGAGAAAATGCTACACTGCCCTCAGTTAATATTTTATAAGCATTTTGGCCTCAGAGTCAAGCCCAGGAGGTAAATCTTGCTTGATGCAGCCCTCCCTGATTGCTGAAACCGGCCAAGAGCTCTGCGATGAAA